GTCATGTGATCTTGGTTTAGGTCATGTGATCTTGGTTTAGGTCATGTTATCGTGGTGAAAGTCATGTGATGACTAGTTTAAGAGACATGGTTTTGTTGTGACTTTTTGAACCTGAGGTCATCGCTCTTGATCACATGACGCAGAGCGCTCTCACCTTCGCACTCGTTCTCGTCAGACTTGTCCTGACAGTTGATCTCTCCATTGCAGCGGAGGCTCATGTCGATGCACTGCCGACTGTCACACTGGAACTCTGACTCTGAACAGACCGGACAGTCCTCCTCGTCGCTGCTGTCGTCACATTCCACATAACCGTCGCACCTCCAGGTGTTTGGGATGCAGTCCACCTCCCCGGAACTGCAGGTGAACTGCTTGGGTGAACAGGTGGGTGGTTCTGCAAACAAAGCAAAGAGTCGGTCCATCTTCCCGCTGATCGTGTCGGGGCTCTGACCTCAGAACCGACAGGTGAGTTTTACCTCCGCAGGTGAGCTCGTCCGGCAGCAGCACCAGGTGGATGGGACATGAGCAGCGAGTCGTCCCGTCTCCTTTAACGATGCAGATGTGGGAGCAGTCACCGTTATCTTTCGTACACGGGTGTTTACCTGCACAACATGGAGGGCGGATCTTTACCTGAGGTGTTTATTTAAGATTCGGGTCTGCTCTCACACAAACGGCAGGAAATACAAGTTTCTGAACTCAAGCGGACCTAAAACGTTAAAACAGAAGAAGCTGGACTCACGGTAATCCTTCATGTCGAGCTCGTGCACAGCGTGGATGTCGCTCAGGTAGGCCACTCGCGCCTGCACCTTAGTGCGGCCCTCCCTCGTCGTCTTGTCGATGCGCTCGATCATCTGCTGCTGCTTGTCGATCCAGTACAGGTGGTTCCCGAACACCGTCAGGCCCACGGGCTGCAGGATGTTCGTGTCAGCAATCACGACCCGATTGGCTCCTGCAGCGTTTAACAAAATAAAAGCACCGGGAGAGGAGAAATAATAAAACGAGGGAGAGAACTTCAGGAACAAAGGCAACAAAACGGGTGAGGAGCTGAAGGGGGAGGCAGGGAGGGACAGGAGTGAACATGAAGAAATATTTACTCGCTCAGGATTTATTCTGAAACCACGTTTAAGGTTTATTTATTCCAGTTTTAACATTTAGCTACAAACAGATGGTTCCTTCAGGTGGTTCTCCTGCTGAGAACCCAAATCTTACTGAAGAATAAACCGTGAGGTTCTGAAAGGGACTCCAAACATCTGGCCTAGAACCTGCATCAGACAGAACCATCTGGACCTTCAGACACCTGAAGATATTTCAGAACCCGTTCATGTCTCGGTTCAGCACCAGGAGAACAACCAGAACTGTTTACGAACGCATAAGAACACGGACCATTTTATTAACAGGAAGTGACATCACAGCCCAGCCCTTCAAGAACAGGAAGTGACATAAACCTTTATTTAACCAGGAATATGGTAAATGGACTGTACTTATACAGCGCCTTTCTATCTTATTGAGACACTCAAAGCTCTTTACAACAATCTGTCTCATTCATACAGCTCTATACTAGATCTCTACTAAGATAATTGAACAAATCATTCTAAAGAGATTAACCAGAGCTTTATCACATTCAGACACTGATGGGACACACATCAGAGGCAGTGAGGGTTCAGTGTCTTGCCCAGGGACACTTCGGCATGTGACTGTAGGTGGATTTGAACCCCCAACTCTTGCATTGGAGGACGACTGCTCTAACCACTGAGCCACAGCCGCCCCACTCATAATATCCCACTCAGATCACAGATCTCTAGTAAGAGGCCTGGACCTGGAGGCAGACTAACATGCATGTTTTTATTCTGTGGGAGGAAACCGGAGTACCCGGAGAAAACCCACGCAGCACGGAGAGAACATGCAAACTGAAAGAGCCCAGGTCCAACCGGGGATTGAACCCAGGGCCTTCTTACTGTGAGGCAGCAGTGCTAACCACTGAGCCATCGTGCCGCCTTCAGAACACATCTCTTCAGTAACAGGAAGTGGCGTTGGACTCACCGGACAGGTCGCTGCTCTCGATGCGTCGCAGATCCGAGTCGACCCAGAACAGCTTCCCGACCTCGTTGTCGATGGCCAGAGCCACGGGTTTCCCCAACCCGCTGAAGAACAGGACCTCGCGCTCCGTTCCGTCCAGCGCTGCTCGCTCGATCTTCGGCGAGCGTTCCTGCAGGTTGGTGAAGTACATGTACCTGCAGGAGACGACAGGAAGTTCTGACCCACTCCGACCCAAAGGGAACCAGCATGTAAAAACTACAAGACTTTTAGAGCAGATCTTCCTGAGACCGTCTCGTACGCGACACGGAGGCTTCCTGAACAGAACCTTCAGAACATCAGAGGGACTTTCTGACTCTTTGGACTCAAGGCTCGCTCAATGAAAAGATGAATTCTGGTACCGACCCGCGCTCGGGGTTGACCACGATGGCTCGAGGTTTGTCCTTCTCGCCCCGCAGGACCACGCCCACCCTGCTGCCGTCCGTCCGGGTCACGTTGATGACGTTGGTCACCTCGCTGGTCCAGTAGATGAAGCGGCTGTAGATGTCGATGCTCAGGTCGTACAGCTGCAGACCCGGACCGGGCCCGGCCACAGAACTCGACACCACCGTCATGCTCTGACAGGACGATAACGCAGGTGGATCAGAAGCAGACCTGAAAGGAGACACCAGAACCTGGAGGACCTGCGGTACCTGGTTCCCGTCCTCCTGGGCGCGGCGGATGACGCTCTGCTTGGAGTCGATCCAGTAGAGCTGCTTGTCGAGCGGGTCGAAGTCGATGGCCCGGACGTTCTTCAGGTTGTGGACCGGCAGGATGATGTCGGGGCTCTGCTGCTCGTCGATCACCATCCGGTTGATGGAGTTCTTCTGGCTGAAGAGCAGGAACGAGGTGGGAGCTGCCGGAGAAACAACAAGTCACACCTCGAAGACACCGGCTCTGACCCTGCACAAGCCCGAACCGGACCCGCCTCTCACCGCTGCAGGTCTTGTTGTCGGCGTTCAGGGAGAAGTGGGCGGGGCATCGGCAGACGAAGCCTCTGACGGGGACGGCGAGGCACAGGTGGGAGCAATGACCGTGGGTGGAGGCGCACACGTTCCAGCCCCCCTGTCGGGACGAGTGGAACACCAGGATGTCCATGACGTAGTCCAGGTGGCCCTGGATCAGGGTGCGGTTCTGACCGCTGCTCTTGTTGGCCCGCTCGATGCTGCGCTGGCTCCAGTCTGTCCAGTAGATGTAGTCCTGGAACTGGGTCAGACCAAACGGGTGAGGAAGGTCGTCAGCGATCACCTCCCGGTCCTGACCTGGAGAACCAGAACACGAGAACATCAGAGCCAGAACCGGGCCCAAACTAGTCCAAATCAAGCTCAAAATCAGATCCAAACCAAACCTGAAACTGGTCCAGATCAAACCTGGAACCAGTTCAGACCCTCAGAGAGATTCAGAAGAATTCAAACTTTAGCAGAAAACGTCTCGTGGACCGCAGGCCCGGTTCTAACAGAACTATGTGACCCAGGAGCAAGCGGACCCAGCGGTTCTGCTTCAGCTCTAGGACTGTTCTGTTGGACCTCTGCTCTCACCGAGCATGTTGGACGACTCGATCAGGGTCGTGTCCAGGTCGGTCCAGTAGAGCCGCCGCTCCGAGTAGTCGATGGTGAGTCCGTTGGCCCGGCCCACGTCGGCCACCAGCGTGACGCGGCCCGTTCCGTCCATCGCGGCCCGGTCTATCTTTGGTTTCCCTCCCCACTCGGTCCAGTACATGTACCTGTGGAGAATCGGGTCAGAACAGAACCTGTGAGATGAACCGGGCCTGCGGGCCGGAGATAACCAAGCTGCAGTTCTTACCCCTCAGCAGGATCCAGAGCCAGAGCTCGGGGGCTGTCCAGATCTTTCCAGACCAGAACCTGCCGGTGCTGCCCGTCCAGTTTGGCCACTTCAATGCGGTTGGTGCCGGTGTCGGCCCAGTACAGGTTCTTCCCCAGCCAGTCCACCGCCATCCCCTCTGGATAGTCAAGTCCAAACTGGACCACGTGTTCCAGAGCACTGCCGTTCATGAAGGCCCGGCTGATGGTCTGCAGAACCACAAGCCCAGGTCAAAGTTCTGGTTCAGATCTTACACAGTAACACACATGGAGTGGACTTCAGGAAGCTCTGAAGATGCTCCGGTCACCCACAGATTTAACGAACGGCTCTGAATGAGATTAAAAATGTTCGGTTCTTAACGTAACGAACTGCTGCGGTGACAAATCTACAAATACTCACATTCAAACATTCATCTGGTTTATTTTTTAAAGAATCTACATTTTTAGTTCTGCGACTCTAAATCGATTTAAAATGTGTTTAATTTTTTTCCGCTCTTACTCCCGAGCGTACTGCATGTCGCGTTACGTGTCCGATCGAACGCTGAAGGATTGAGCCGTGCAGGCCACCGTACAGCAGCTGGTTAGCCAGCTCCCTTTATCTGAATGGAGCCTGCTAGCATGGAGGAGAGCACGAGTCAACTCGCTGCTTCGTCTTTAAAACTCGTTCCACATCCTACCATGTTCCGGGGGAAGACAGAGCTTCACAAGAGCACGGCTGTTTACAAGAAGAATAAAATAAAACGGACGTACAGTATTTTGAACAACAAAATGTGCAGAAGATGAAAGAGAAGCAGCCGACCAGCGAACTCTAAAAACAAACTTCCAGCTGATTCTGCAAAGTCTGTGCAGAGTTCCCTCCGTCTCCTGCGGCAGCACCAAGGACTCGTGATCTCACAGCTCAGTGGAGGTGGCGGTTTATTTTAATACGCTGGAGTCAACGTTCGTTACTCCGTCATGTAGGTTTATAGTGATGAAGCTGCGCCACAACTCCACCATGAAACAAACAAAGTGGGAGAAACTGATGCAGCTCAAAGGTAACGGTTGTTTATCAGATTACAATGAAACTTATGGACACGTCGTTCAACAAACTTTATGGAATTTGTCTTTTTAACACGTTCAAGAGATGAGACACATCTGGAGTCCAGATGTCTTCTAAATGAGACAGTTTATATCATTTATACATTTTATAAATTACAGTTCAGAAGGGGTTTGTGCAAACTTGCACAGGTTTTTAAATTTAGTTAAATATTTACCAAACATGAATCAATATGTTAAGACTGAAGTCGGTATATTTCATATTAGGTTCAGTTTTGAAAATATAACAAATGTTAGAACAATATGGTTAAAATAACTGAAGTCTGTATTTTATGTTGAGTTAAAGGTTAATGTAGTGTGTCTGGTAGGATGAAGTCTGTTTACGTTTGTATTTACAGATTTTAAATTATTTGTTTGTGATGGACTGGAGACCTGTCCAAGTGTCCCTGTGTTGGACTAGAGACCTGTCCAGGTGTCCCTGTGATGGACTGGAGACCTGTCCAGGT